CCATCTCTGACCCAACAACCTCCCTGGGTCCCAAGAGTGCTCTGAATCCCTGGATGTCCATCGCTGCCTTGAACTCACGCTGGTTGGAGAAGCCGATGAACTCCACCATGGCTCGCTCTTGTCCCCTTTCATCCCGGCGCACGGACTTGATCTCTCCGTTGTACCACTTCTGCTCAAAGAAGGCCTCGAACGCACCGAGGCCAGAACGAAGCTAATGCCGACCGCGGCAAGGTCCTTGGGATTGACCCAAAGCAGTCACTTGAGGTCGTTTTCTGGAGATCCCAAAGTGAACGAGCCCGCTTTGGCCCCGAGCCATGAACAAGGATGCTGTCTGGTCTCCTCCTCATCATGTGGAGTGACCACTGCTGAGTACTAGAGTAGTCTACTCCAGGATCACTCCCATCTAGATATATACTCCAGGGATGGCAAGCAACTTCGACCTTGGCATGATGAATGAAGCAGTTCTGCTTCACCTACAGCCGACCGCACAGCCCCCCGGCTGCCGGTGGCACCCAGAAGATGTGGACCCTGCAGGCTTTCAAATGCGCCACGTGCGCGGGCGGCTGAGCTCGGAAGCGCCAACTGGACCTCCCGAGACCTGGGACCGACGGAGGAGTCCCAGATCTGCCTCGCAGGTGCGCCCCACCAGCGCTGTATGCACCGACTTGGCAGCCTAAGTCTCCGTCCGGAATGGGCATCCGGATGGCCCAAGTCACAAGGGCAGGGACGAGAGAATCGGTGGGATTGAGCAAATCCTCCCCCATGTGCCTGGGAGCATCCATCCCTTTTTCAAACAGCGATCTCTGCGACTGTGCTGTAGAATGCTGTAGGTCACCACTTGTGGACGGAAGTCAGTATGCTGGTCCAAGCCTTTGCGAGTTCTGCAATGGGACACGGTGTGAAGAAATCACCTGTGCTCGGTGTTTAGAGAGGAAAAAGGAAGTGCCAGAAATGGAGCCGCTGAATCATCCATTGCTGCCCCCAAGGTTCCCCCAATCATCATAATGTTGGTTCTTGCACTCATGAAAGATCTTGACATCTTTGCCACCAGTCCCACCCAACCGCCCGTTCGCAAAGCCCAGCAGCCGAACGGGAGGTCTGCGTCGGCTGCCTTAGCTGGAGCATCTGAAGGCTCAGCTCCCAGTGCCAGCATTCTGCTGCCATATCTTCCGTGCAATATCCCATCCGGATACCTACTGGGGATCTGGAAATCCAATAAGCCAGTGAGGGTGCAAAACTTGGTCGGTAAACTAGACTATGTATGTGCCATTGTCTAAGACCTGTCTCTGAGTTGCTTGTAACATGCTCCATGCATGGTGTTCACCATGCTCCCTGACTCCATGGCCAGCTCGATTGAGCAACCACCACTGGTCACAATGGCAACGATCCTGAACTGCGCAAGTTCATGAGGCCCTAAACCCGCAAACGACCCGCCTTCCGGGTTCTTCTTCACCATGACCCAGACTGAAATCCCTCCAGCCAGCCAGGGCGGTCAGGGCAGGGTCCCACCCGCACCCGCATGCGGCGACCCTTCACCCTCGCTGCTTGCGTTCCACGCGGCGGCACCACACTCGCGCGGCCCGTGGTGCCCGCTGTCTCGGCACCCGCCGCCTGCTCGGCCTCTGTGGGGGCGGCCGCCTGCGTGGTGCCAGGCGCTGAAAACTGTAGAGGTGTTCAATGTAGAAACAAGAGTCCAATGGATTTGGAGGATTGAAATCAGAAAAAGTCTAATTTTGGTGGATTTGTGGATGGACAGAGCATAGGTAAAATGTCTCTCTCGAGGTCGCTCTAACAATCTAACAATCTAACCCAAATGACCAGACTGCCAAACTGCATTTCCGGGAAGTTGACCCTCTCTAGTTGTTGGCTGCCAGGTCCATGCAAAACGGTGGTTGTAAGTTATTCTGTTGGTTCGGATTTGGCTGTGAACTCGTCCCCCGATCCAAAGGTCACATCCTTTCTTCGACAAAGAAGGAACTTGCAACGAGACAATGTGGACGTGCAACAATTGCAGAACATGTGCAGGTCTGAACCCCAAAATGTGTTTGTGCTTCCATAGTTCTATCTTGCCATGTAAAATGCAGTGCGTTGCAATCCAAGACGTGCAAGCAAGCTGCAAGGTAATCTGGTGAGACACATGCTGTGGAGGTCATCTTACACATGTGGAGCACGGCACGAGTCGAGATTCCCTTGCATACCATGTGCATGCTCATCGCATCGATGCTCCTCGCATCAAGTAGCATGTGCTCACGCTGCTCGCCTGGTACTTGACCAAATCCTCTGTAAGCACAATGACCTCACGGGCACCGGAGTGGATGTTTCGGACTCCGCGCCCCCTCCGAGCCCCCGGTTTTGGTTCCCACCGGGCGCGGGTCCATTCGGATCATCACTCTGGCGGCTACGAGTGAGTTAGTCCTCACTGTAACTGGTGGAGGATGGTTTGACAAGAGGCTAGACCCTGACTAAATAGAACTTTACTGTATGCGGCAGTGACCTGGAATAGACCCGACCAACCACATATTCACCCAATCCCAGTCGCTTCCTCTCAATTCACGGTCCCCACTGCGCACCGAGAAAAAGAACAAACAAACACTCTTTCAGGGGCCCAAATTAGGAAGGCCGCCGGTCACCGGGGATGCCCCACATGAAAAGGTGAAATCATGTGAGGCTCCCGTGTGGTGCCACTCGAGGTGCCGACTGTGACACGCAAGCGGAAGTCTTCAAATTGCTAGCCAGTCAGTCACTGGTCAAAACAGGGTTCATATATTTGCGGGGGTGGACATGTACAAAAGAACACAGACTGGAATCCGCTGCCGTTCGTGGTGGCCTCCAGTAATGTCACGCCGCGAGAACACCTGAGTTTGTGACTTCTGTAAGGTCATTCTTCAGCTTCACCAGGGATGGTTCATCCGGCTGCTGCTCCAAGGCCTGCAAGTCGCATGACAGCCTACTTCTGCCTACTGCAGTCTAGGATTCAAAGGCTCCACTTCTTCCCACGTGAATAATCACGAGTTTATCTGTGCCTTTTGCATGAATTATATATAATTATCACAAAAAATTGCGTTGATCATCTACATCATTGGAGGTGTACAAGGACACGCTTTGGACCAGCAGAGTATGATTGGAACCTGTCAAGACCTGCAAGCGTGGGGTATTGAGGCACCGGAAATAAACACCATCCCGCAATCCCATACCGCATGGAACAGTGGTACAGCAAATCACGGCATTTGTCCCATCAAGAAGCCAATCCAAGAGTGGCACCGGGCCTCTTCAACCTGTGCGAGCTGCTCTCGGTAGGTATCGAGCTTGGTCAGCAGCTCCTCTGCCGACTGACTGAAATCCATGGCCTGAAGCAACGGCAGAGCTGCCACTGACTAGCAAGCGGAGTTGTCAGTCATCAGGACCCGAAATGTGTGCTGAGAATTGCTTACCAGGCTTTCTCTCAGACGACAGGGCTTCAAGAAAACAACGTTAGAGGAAACAGAATTGCTGCTGGATTGCTGCCCCAATTCCCATCAGACTGCGCCCCAGTCATCAGGCACTGTTTAATCAAGATGTGCTTGATGCAAGGTGTGCGTTAGCCTTATGAGCCTGTGACTCCAAAAATGGACAGCTCAAGAATAGAAACCTCTCCGTAGCTTCATTCTGAGACATCGTTTTCTTGTTTAGATTGCCGCGGTCTCTGCCGTTGCCGCCAAAAGGCAGGGGTTGCGAAGGCAGCTGCGGCCCCTTTAAAAAAAAAAAAATCAATCGTGTCATTCCTCCAATTGTGTTCAGAATCCTGGGGCGGAGCTTGCTGCTAGCAGGCACCGCATCCTTAAGCAACTCCGCCCAAAGAATGACTGGCAGCCTCAAGAAGTTGTGAGGGACAGGCTCTTTGATGCCAGCCTAGCTGCAGCAAAGGAAGCAATAGGGAGCAATGATGAGTCAGCTTGAGAAGACGTAGTGCTGATTTCGTACAAGTTGGTGGTGCAGTGCAGCTTAGTCGACATTAAGAAACAAGTGTTTGTGGCAGGCGCAGCCAGTGGAAGAACTTAAGAACTAGTGCAGATTTCGTGGCGCTGGGAGGGGGTGAGGGAAGGGCGCAGCGCTTCAAAGGGAACAAATATAATATATATATATATACAATTATATATATAATGGTAATCAACTGTAATAATATAACAATAACAGCAACAAAACAGGCAAACACATAAAGCAAAGGACACAAAAGCAGCACAGGCCTGCACCAAAAGCGAAAAAAACAACCAAGACATACCAAAGCAAAGGCAAACACAAAAAGCAAAAAATGCCCCCCCAAAAAAAAACAAGAGCAAGAGAAGCAAATCTAGAAAGTTTCCTGCGAACAAGAAATGTCCATCACAGCTTTTGGGGGTCCAGGTTCCTGTACTTACCGATGACTGACTCGTGCTGCGTCTTCTCCCATCTGAGAAAGCAATGTACATCAATCTGCCGCTTTTCCAATGAGCCTTTGGCCCCCTAAGACCCGCAACTATCATGCTTTTCCCTCTTAAGAGGGGTTCCCAAGTTCAAGGTAAGCCAGCAAATTCCCTGGATTCAAACAGCGTCTAATTACTACTCATTTCAGCGAAACCACCGGATGGAAAGCACCCAAACCCTCGTTCCGTCACTTCTTCCAGGGCACGACTTCCGTGGAACCGCCAGTGGCCCCGGAGACGCACGTTGGAGCTACACAACAGCTGAGGTGTTCACGCGACGGGTACCGAGTAGGGATGTGCAAGCAGTCTACACTGAAGAATGACAACAACAGCACGCTAAGCCACTTATTCTTTTCAGCGCATCACTTGAATGTCTCTCAAGCTTCTGACTTACTTCAAATCATCAAAATAGGTGGCGGAAAAGACATGTGCATCATTGTGCATCACTGGCACATTTCTAAAGACTTCCAGCGTGCCAAAGAAAGATTCTTACTTGGTTTCACCTCATTGCTCATGCCTATGTTAAGTTCGGATCCACCATGGATCCACCATGGCCCCGGCACTGCTGGCAGACCCAAACCTGAGGACAAATCGTCTGCTGGTCGTCTGCTCTTTTCACAGCCCGATGCTTTCGATTGACGTATGATATGACTAGATTAGAATGGGAGCTTGATCCCACTCCCTACACGTTTGGATGTTGACCATCCGTCCATCCGAGTCCATCCCCCAAGGCCCCAATGCAGAAAGAGCCCACAGGAAGATTCGAGCGAAAGATTGGTGTAAGAAGTCATCACACTGTTGACAGGTTGTGAGAGAAAGGGTTATATATATAATTATATATATATATATTTGGGCCACTAGCCAATGCAAAGCACAAGTTTTGGGGAATTAACTAGCCATTGCTGAAAGAAATCAAGACTCCTTGACACGGAGCAAGTACTCATCGTCAAAGCTCCCAGGTTTGCCATCTGCAGTATTGCTAAGCTTCCGTCACCATGCGGTCAGAAAGCGCCAGTGTCACGATGAACTCGGTGCCTGGTGCTGACCGGAGATACGTGAGACGAGACCCTCTTTGCCCCTGGGATCACCTGATTGGTATTGATTGATGATGATTGATGTATCTTGATGTTGGAGTGGAGCATGCCAGCCAAGTAAGCAAATTGGAAAGTCAAGCGGTGAAGTGAGCACAACAGGCTGAAAACTCTATATACCTGCAATCAAGAATCAAGGATGCAAGTGAACCAAACCCTTTCACACACCCCTGCCTTTGGCTGCCGGGGGGCCAGCAATGACCTCGGGATGTGCAAAAATCGATTGGGGAAATCCGATGGCCCTGGGATTTCGATGGTCACATCGAGCAGCTTTTTGAGCAAACGATCGGGTCGGCAAGGGGTTGATGTGGTGTCTGGCCGGCCTGGTGAGAGCCGGAATGATGTGTGAGCCGGATGCACCACGGCCAATTCGTAAAAGAATCGTGAAAGCCCTTGGGCAGTGGTGCAGTGGGGAAGTTCATCCCAAGCCCAAGTGGGGATGATCTACATCTAGTCAATTTGACGTCAAGCATGTCACCTGCTGCAACATGCTGGTGGCCTGATCTGGCCTCATGGTGCTCTCAGAACTCTCCTATACTCTGGTCTCATGACCCGCTCAGTAGGCGGTCAGCTTGGATGGCCGTGACAGTGGAGACCAGGTTTTTTACCCAAATCCTCGTGCTCCAGCACCGCATCCCCAATTAGGATTAACTTGGAACTTCGGGACCACCTCCCAAAACAAGCATCGGCGGATGGAATTTCCGGACGGAATCTCCAACGGTCTGCCACCAAAGAGGTCAATGGCTTTTTAGGAATTCAGTCGGTTTCTGCCAAGTCTTCCAAATCAAAGCTTTAAGAGACCTGCTCTGTCCACCATTCACCCCCGCCATTTTCAGGACCTGCTACATCAACCGTTCACCCTCGCCTTGCGAAACATAATGAAACATACCCGCCTCGTCGACCGTGACCTTCTCTCCAAAGCGATGTTGGCACAGCGCAGTGACCACCTGGCAAGGTGCTTCTGAGGTTCGATGAACGCCAGGCGACGTGCCTGTTCACGCCGGCGTTTCATGGTTGTTCACCGGTGTTGGTTGGACTTCATGTCGCCCTCTGGCTCACAAGAAGATGGCGAATTGAAAATGTCTGATGGAACATGTTCCAACAGTGTCCGTCCAGTTTCTCTGCTTGAAGGCTTGCACTGTCTGCTGACACAATGCGCTGAATTGTTCAAGGAGTTTCTTCCTACCACCCACCGTAAAAGGGGAAACACAGCAAGCCTGCTCAAGGAGGCCGGGCAGGCATTACGTGCAGTCTCATTGGCATTTTCAGCCACCCAATTGGCGTCCACATCCTAGCATCTGCACGAGCATCAAACTCCAAGCGGTGAGCAATGCTTGACTCGACTGCAAGAACGTACTGCATAGATAGATTGCAAAAATGTCTCTTGACCCGCACCTTCACGTAAGTCATCGTAAGCCCTTTGGCCTGTCAAGTTCGTTGCCATACTGAGCTCACGGCAGGCAAATCCTCAGACCTCTCAGCCTGGGGCCCACCATCCTCAGACACAAGGCCACTTGTTCACTGTAACAGTCTGCGGGCTATAAACCATCAATTCCAGCACCTTAGTCACCAGGAATGATGATTGTTTGTAATACAATTTCTATGATCTTCTATGGACGCTGATCAGAATTGAGCCCTAGCATGCCCTAGCCATGGAAGATGTCCTCTTGGCGCACGGCACGCAGTCGTTGCAGAAATTCCGCACTGGCCAGCTCCTGCCATCGCTCCCGTTCATCCAGCAGAATCATGACACATCCAGCGAGGAGACCACTCCGAGTTCCTCATGTTCATCTACTCTTCTACAAAATCGGGCAGGGAGCCCCTTGTGCTCTCAACACCCAAGAATCCTCTAAGCCATCCTGAAGCACTCCCGCTTCCCCAGCTCCTCCACTGCTGATGGCACTTGGGCTGAAGGCTTGCGATAGCCTCTGCCGGGAAGCTGCGCCCTTGGCTTCTTGGATGGCTTCTATTGGGCTTCTGCAACCACGAGCCCTGGCTACATGGAAATGCATCTAGTTGGCACCCCCATAATTGTGCTCAGCGAACTGAGTTGGTACCAACCTATACCAACCAGGCTTGAGGTTGATACACCCTCTGAAATCATCACGGAATTCGTGGCGTTCATCAGTTGGGTGGCTCGTGGTCATCGGGGGCCATGCCATGCCACTTCTGCAGAATTGGGGCCATGTACCTTCGTCCTCAGCTCTTCACCAAGTTGAAAACGGTCTCGGAGGTCCCGGTGGTCCCGGTGGAGATTGCGTGGGAAATGACTGGAAATGGAAAACAAACTGGAAACACTACCGAAAGCCTATTGGATCTTATTACAATGTACTGGCTCAACTGAGTTGGAGGAGCCCCACGTGCCGGAGGAAATCATAAATTGCTCGAAATGCTCGAACACCATGCCTTTGGCTCGCCTGGCCACCGCTGGGATGTTGGAGCCCTCCTGAGGCACCCAAAAGCACCGCGCTTCCGGAAAAAAGAGGAAAAAATACATCACGTCCTCAAAGAGAAACCGGAAGAAAAAATACACATCGACTTCTTTGAGCTACTCCACACACCAGAGTGTAGACTGATCAATAAAGCCAGGGTGTTCAATCCGAATGGGCGGTGGTGTTGATCAACAGCCTAGAAATTGGAGTAGAGGGATTGATCTTCAGTTTGGGACAGGTCGTCTTTGTGCGCTGTCGGGAGATGAAACCGCTTCGAGCTCGCTCCTGTGGCCATGGGGCAAATGCCCCACCTTGGCGCATGGCCCATGGTTCAGTCGATTGCCATCGATTGGACCATCTCAACCACTCGCCTGGAAAAAGGAAACGTCCCAAAATCGACCATAACATGGAGCATGGGACAAGTCACAGGCTGGGTTCATGCAAAACATCGACCAAAAGCTGGTGAGTGGTCATCCAAAAAAGCCTTCGAGCTCGCAAGTCGCATGCTGCATAGGGAGAAGTGCAAAATGCATCCAAAAGTGTGCTCTTGTGTCATCTCCTCTCTTCTGATGCTATTTGGACCTCAGAGTCACCCCTGCCTCGACCCAGCAGCTGGCAGGCAGCAACAGCTCCAAGCCAAGATCCAGCAAGGCCTGCTGGGCAGCATCTGGGCAGACGATTGCAAGTAGACTGGCGTGTTGAGCATGTGATGTTGCGCATGTGAGTTTGTTGAGAAAACAAAAATTAGCATCACCCCATCAGAAGCAAATGGTTGGCTCAAACCACCTAAGGTCTTCCAATGGGACATGAGTCATGAGAGAGGGGAAAAAAAGAGGCGGACTTCAAAATGCCAACATTATTGAACCTCAACCCATATATGACATGAGATCATCTTCCACGCATCCTAACAGTCATATGCTACATAGGCCCAAAAGTCAAGCAGTGGAATTGGGTACTTTCACTTAGTTTGCTGCTTCAGTTCCTTGTGACCAGCACGCATGGATCTTTGCCCCCCAACTCCTGGCTTGGTCTTCTGAGGTGGCTCTGGCTGAGGCTTTGCCTTTATATTGTGCGTCTCTCTGTCTAGTGGCTGTGAACGATCGTGAACGCATGATCTGCCGCCTTGACCAGTCCGGCGAGCATCACGTGGCGAAGACCTTGACGGGCTAAACGGCGTCCGCGGACTGGCTCTGAAGGGACTTGAACTACGGCAAGTTGGTGTGGCAGTGTGGGTTGGTTGGTGTGTTGCATAGTGTGCTGCGTTGCTCTGGGTGGCCCCACCAAACCAAACCAAACACCAACGATGTAGTTGGGGACTAGGCCTAGCAAGGCCTAGGATACGTGCTAGCCACTAGCCCTCTTCAGGGCCAGCGCCTATCTAGACACGGTGTTTGACCCTGAACTTCTTCAACTCTCCAGAGCGATGCAAGTTCTATGGCAGTGAAAGTGCGCAGGTCTTTTCCTGCGTGCTCCCAACGCCACTGCATACTACGACATCTTGAATCATCACGTAAATGCAAACGGACACAAAACGTGATGGCAAACGGGACGGTAGCAAAGACTAGTCCTTCGCTTTACTGCTGCTGGGCTGCATGGCTGCAATCACATGGATCTACATGCGACATCATGCGACCGTGTCTGCATGTAGCTGTGAAGGATGTAGGACTGTGAAAGCTCGAGATGGAACCCATCTCCACACCCCCATGCGGCAGAGCTCTCTGAAAGTTTCTGATGGACTTCAACTCGTGCACTCAAGTTTTGGAATTCCGCTGGCCCTTTTGTTCTTAGCCTGCACAGTAGAAGGTCCACGCCTGTGCGGGGATAATCACGGGTCTGCCAATCCATCCAAGAATCAAAACTCTAAGAAGGATCAAACCATCTTGGATAGTCATTCTTCGAGCGACCAAATCCTTGAGAAGTGATTTGATTTCGTTCAGGGTGCTCCGGCCAGCTGCATTCGAAGAGCGAACTGCTAAAGCTGACTTTGAGCCAAGGCTGGGAGAGCGGCTGGGGCGCTGCTTGGCCTCTCAAGGGGTCAAGCAATCATGAGCAAATCTATGCAAATCTATGCAAATCTTGCGTTCAATTTGGAGGTGTTCATGAAGTGGTATGGGGGGTTGATGGGGTTGACCCTCAAGGTGATGAGCCCAAGACTCACCCAAACTGTTTAGTTTGAGCGACTTCGGTGAAATGTGACGAATTGAAACAAAGATTCCTACAGTCCTACAGTCACAAACCTGCATTTCAGGTCACACCATTCCCCACGAACCGAGCTTCACCATGTCGCGCTCCTTGCTCGGTGTCCTTGGATCCGCGGACGTCCTCCGTTTCGCGGCACGTCGTCGGTCGCGTCTCGTTTCGCCGGGGCGATCTTCGCCTCTGCGGTCTCCCAGCTTTGCGGGGCACAGGGAGCACGCGACTTGGTCACGTGGAGCCCCGCCCCCTCTTCTCCGAGAAAAACGGATGGCCGCGTGTGGAGAGGACACCAGCAGACGAATGAAAACAACTTGCACCCCTGGTAGATCCTTGTTGGGGATGCGCACCCATTTTCATCAGGACCCGTTTCATCGCAGTTGTTCTCAGCCTCGTAGGCCCAGCGGGTCACGGTCGCCAGTGCCCTCCGCAGCCTCGCACGGTTCGCGAAGCTCCAAGACCGTCTTCAAGCCTCGCCCGCCCCGGCTCGGCGGGATTCCCGGAGAACGAGGGTTGGTTGGTGGGCGGGTTCTGCCAAGACGGTGCCGAAGAATTTGGGTGGCAAATACTCCGAATCAACATGTCTGAGGAAATTGGCGACAAAAAGGAGGATCAACGAATCACGAAGTCGAAGTCACTCCTTCCGGAGAGCGAAGGAGGAGACCATGAAGCATCCTGAAGCCACCACAGAAAGCCGCTTTTCGATGCCAAGCAGCCCAGGTCTTTTGGCTTCGCAGCATTCCCTTCGGCGATGGTGGAAGGTCGCTCAGGTCCGCGTGAGACCTCACCACCTGAAGGCCAGTTCGGAGGGTCGAGACGCACCCGGGTTTGCGGTCGATGTTCGGCTCCCTTGAGTTCGGGCCTTTGGATTTGGACCCCCCTGCCAGGAGTGCGGGATCTATGCAAGACTTGGGAGCTTGGGGAGCTTGAGGCTGAAAAAGACCAAACTGCAAGGGTCACCCCCTTGATTCATCTATATACAGAGCCGAGCTGGACTTTAGAAGCCAAATTGTTGGACTTGTGCTGGGTCATCCAAGTTCGACCTCGGAATCTATTCCAGATAGCCTTCCTGAAACAACCATGCAAATGAAACATCCTGGAAAGCATTGTCCGCTACAAACAGGAGATTGTACACATCCATGTTTGTTGGAGGCGCGCGAATAATACCCTTTCACTCTTCAAAACCATTCACAACCGTTTTGGGGCCAACTCCTTCAAATCATTTCAGATCTTCGGGGGGTTGGCTGGCTCACCCTGTCCGGTCCACCTGAATGCTGAGGCCGCCCAAGAACTCCGCATCCGCCGGCGAGCCCAAGGCGCTGTTGCGCCGGCGCCGTGCCTTGGAAGGCCGGTGGCATGGCCAAGAAGGGAACGGAACAGTCGATGCCGGAACAGGCAAGCCCCAAGTTAGCCACATGTCTTCTTCTTCCATATGAGACATATGAGATGTCTTCAAAAGCATTTTACCAATTTTAAGTGAGTCCATGACGAGGCGAGGGGCGACCCACTGGCCCCTATCTCCAAGAGCTTTCGGTTTTGTTGTTCCGGTGAAACGACTAGGTCAAACTACGACCACAATCTGGTCATAGAAGATCTTGGAGTGAGCGACAAACCTAATGGCACCAGTGACATCTGGAGGACCAAAAAACATATCGAATCATCTCTGACTCGTCCATTGTGCGTTTCTGGTCTGCTCACCCGCCAAGGTTTTGGGGTTCAAAGCCCAGCCAGGATGAAAGGCTGTTCATCCGTTTATCACCCTCGCTGCCCAGGCCTCGGCCAGGGCTGAGGGCTTGGGAAGCTCCAGAGACCTTCGTCGGTCCTCAACCAATCCCATCGCACCAGGCCAGGCCGGGCCGGAGCGTGGTCTGTGAACGCATCCCTAAACACATCCCGTAGACGGGTTCACATTTTTGGGCTGATGAGATGGCACGAGTTATCAGGAATGCTCTTCCAGGAGGGGCAGCTCCAGGAGTGCCAAATCAGCTTCCCACTTTGCCCATCTTTGTCCCACAGTTCAGCCTTTAAAGGGAAATGTGATCACTCTCGGGGGTAAAATCTCGAAGAAATTGCAATGGAATTTACGATCGCTGTCCTGCTTCTCGGGGCTTTTCGGCGCATCCTGGCAAGCGCTGGCATGCACAAGCCGAACATCGTCTTCTCATCCCAAAATCTTCTTGTCAGGCCACGGATGGCATCGGTTTAGGGTTTTCCAACCTTTTCCTGAGGCCTTCGAAGGATTGGCCGAGACTTCCTCCCCTCAAACATCCTCAAACTCCGAACTGCCTCCGCAAAGGCGGGCGCCCGAGCCTCAGAAACCTTCGCAGCTTTTTCCCGCTGGGCATTGGGTGCCTGGTATCGGAGTGGGGGATGTAGGTGTTGGACGGTCCTCCACCCTTTGGCGGAAGTTTCACGAGTCACCGCAGTGCTTGGGTCCTAATGGGAATCCTAGTGGCCTGGCCCGTGCTGACCAATCTATACAAACAACACAAGAAACCATACACCACGATTTACCTCTCGCATGGTGTGGGAACCCCGACTTCAATTTGCTTGCCGTCTTGGCAGTGGCTGCATTGTGTCTCCCGTGCTGACCAGCATTGGGGAAAGGTGCCGCGCACAAGCTGTGGTTTTTGAATATGAGTGCTGAGTATTTCGGCTAGTGTCAGGGACCCACAAATGGGAAAACATCAGAGAGTGGACGAATTGAACACAAATTGGATAAAAAAAAGAAGCTCGGGTTGTCTAAGGTTTTCACTTATAGAGCCACTTGAAACGAGATGAAATGCCTTCCCGAGTTGCCGGTCGAGTATCCAAGGACAGGTGTAAGCCACGGCGATCGCATAAGCCCGAGCCCCCGGAAGGGATGGTCGATGGGCTCATGGGGCTCGCTGGACCGTCCTGAGAAGAAGCTCTACCAGACTGGTGTGGCTGTGGTGTGGCTGTGACGGGGTGTTCTCAGTCACAGGCTTCGTGCATCAAGGACGATGGGATGAACCACAGCCCACGTATCAACTGGAGACCGGAGAACTGGGTGTAAGGTTGCTGACGCATGGCATGCCTTGGCGAATCCAATTTTCCCACACAAAAAGCCTTTTCCCATGGCGGACAGCATTGCTCACAGGATTTTGAAGTGGGTTGAAGTGGAGCGGATTTTTGGGATTCAATCTCGGGGTGATGATGAGCTGCCAGGACAACTGCATTCCAATTCTTGTAGGGCTTTCGAGCGAAATAACACTGTGACGTCCTCTTCTTTGACCAATGGCATCGAAGTCGATGCCCCACGCCTCAAAGTCCCACCACCAAAAAGGCCAGCACGAAATGGCCATTGAACAGCTGCACTTGGTGAAGCCCAATGAAACACCGGGTGAGGTGACAGTGAGAGTAAGTCCGATGCGCATGGAACGAAAAAACTCTGCGTAATGGTACGCATGGGACGACAAAACTAGTAGTGTTATATAGTATTGCATTTACACTTGCACCTCCTTGAAACACTCACGGAATAAGCTGGAAAACCACCTGTTTGGTCTTCAGAAAATGGTTCTCCTTTCGGGGCCATGCCATCCATGTAACCATGGTGGCCACCACAGTCACTTCTGCCGGACTCATGAGCCAATTGGGATTCCACACCGATGAGCGGCGCCGTCTCCATCGTAGAGGCGTTGATACAACGCCTCCAGCTCTTGCCTCGGGCACCAGGAATCTGCCGGTGTTCTGGCGGGGTGGACGACAAATGGATCAGTTTGGCAAATATAGGACCCATGCCTTCCTTGGGTCAGGCCATCGGCCTGGAAACAGAACCTATAGACTATAGATGTTAGACGAATGAACAAGTGAAGATACAGCGATAGTCCTTTCTGTCAAGAGGTTTCAGTTCATGTGCGGTGATGTGACCTGTCGCAGTGTTCTTTGATAGCGGCGACCACGTGCATCCGGGAGTAGATTTATCTTGGAAATGATATGGTGATACATGGTGTAGTGTAACTTGTAGTGTAGTGTATAATGTTCCAACAACTTGCTGCCTAATTAGTCTATACTTAGACTGGGAATGGTCAAATCTGAAGCAATCGGAATGATGCGTGGCACGACGTCAAACCAACGACTTGACTTGCCTTAAAATTCTTTCCCCACATCCATCAAACCCCGTTCCTTGGTTCTTGGCTTTAACTTCGACAGGATTCAGGTCGGTTACATCGTGAAAAACCAAGATGCCGGAGTTGCGCGGCCTCCCGGCACTTCGTATCATACTGCTTGGCCAGCCACTGCTTCCTTGGCCCCCACCCCAGTCCACCAAACCCAAAAAGCGGGGGTCGGTGCTGCGTCTCGGGGATAGTCCACAGGGACGCTGGCGTCTGGAGGTTGAAGCCTCACCCCACAGATCAGCGTGGTTGATTATGGTCTGTATGGCCTACTATATACAAAATATAAATATATGATGCTCCTCTGCTTCTCTGAAGTACCAGTGAGATTGAGATACAGTGATACAACATGATCAAATTGAAAAGTGTTCTGTTCCTACCTATCGCAGGCGGCTGGCCAAGCCACTCGTGTCACAAGCTTGCTTGGTCGAGCGGCTCATGCCTCTCACTGTCCACCAGCGCCATGAAGCGACCCAGTTCATCATGAGGAGGATCCCCTGTCGCAGCACACTTCTAGGGTCCGGCTCCGAGAGCTGGCTCGGGAAGAGGAACCCAAGATTCCAACACATCACCCTGGAAGTGGGTGGCACATGGCACCACCCGTTCCCCCCAAAAAAAACGACAACCGTATACCACGGGATCCCAGGCTCACGAGGCATCCGTTCCGAGTTCCGTTCCAACCGTCTTCGCGTGAGTCGCACGTCCCTTCGAGGTCAGCGCCGGGTCCGGCCCATCCAGGATGAAAGGGCCGAAGATCGCCGAAGGGAGAGGAGATGTATTGAATAGATAGCAGGATCTGAAAAATGCAAATCACTGGCAACTGGAAGCATGTCTTGCACTAAATCTCAGACTGTTAAGATCTGCACTCAGTCAACACTTCTGGTATCTTCTTGCAAGCTATCAGGGATGCTGGTGGTTGGCCACGCATCCACGGCACACACAGCCACCCACCACGGTAAGGGACGCCAGGCCTCGGGGGTGATGGCCAGCGCTGGCTCCGCTGCCCATCCGGACCTGCAGACCGGTCTTCGCCACGGCGTCAGCTCTGGGAGGCGGTTCGACCACGTGCAGTCGTGGTCGGGCCCATCTGTCTCTAGGATTTCATGGTCTCTTCTCCAATCCTCTCCACCCGCCCCAAGATCCAAGAAGGGGCGTGTCGGGGGGTGCCCTTTCTTGCCCCGCGACGGCCTTCAAACAAAGCGCACAAGGGCACCAACAATAATGTGGCTTAAGGGCGTTTCTTCATGTTTCTTCGACTCTCTGCATCCTCTGTAATTCACAGTGTCTCTCCATACCTGCGTCGACAATTCATCTTAAGCAGCAGCGGCTCCCAAGATTCAGTTATTTAAATGCTCGAAGATGGACCTGCCGTGTTTTGATGTGTTTTGATTTGTCAAGCGTCGTATCATTGGATGCCTTTTTTTTGCCCGACACGGCCTTCAAACCAAGCGCAAAAGAGCAAAACTCCTGTTTAAAGGTCTTTTCCGGGGGAACTTGGTGTGGTAGAACCCACTCTTTCATTCAGGTGTTTCTTTTTGCTCCCGGCCTTTTACACAGCTTCACCAACTTCCGCGTCCAACAACACAATGTTACGCTGTTTACCATGCTTTGGCCTCTTTCCCGCGTGGTTCGACTCAACTACTTGAACCGACACAATTGCCAAAGCACTCTAGAAAACACCACCATGGCCAATTAATGATCCAAAACATGTTCATCGAAACTGGTGTGGCATCAGGCGCATCACAAAGGCGGTCGAAACGGATATCATTTGACCACGCAACTTGGGCCGCTCTCCCCCAGCAGTCTCTGGGTTCACCCTTGAGATTGAGGAAAAACATCGCCGTGAGATCGGATCGGCGATGTTAATGATTACACATGAAGGATTTCTGCGTACCTTTGATTGTGGATAGTAAGACATCGTTCAGCAGGCCTGTAGCTACTGGTGGAGGAAAGATCAGGCCATACAGCTCGCCAGAGGATTGCAAAGCATGGTTCCAGAGCGGGCTGTCGAAGTTCCAGTGTCTCGCTTCACAGCTGCTTGGCGCTTCCTTAAATTTCTGTCAGCCATGTCTATGCAAGCCGGTACATGTTCGAAGGTCGAAGAAGTTCTTCCAAAGTGTTGGCTTTCCCTCTGTGTGTGTGTGTGTCTCTCTCTATCTCTCTCTTTCTTGCCTGTTCACTTTGAGCAGAAATGGCTGCCAAATTGGAGAGCCGAATCTGCCCATGAAGACAGAAGAACCCTCTGCTGCATGAGGCGTCCCAGGCGCGCTCAGTACAGAGAAGAACAAGAATGCCCTGCCCCAGCATGAGATCTCTGACCTTCAACCCTCACCAGAACCTGAAACATCTTGAAGCAACCAACTGGCCGAGAGCGGTATGACTTGACCCTAACGCGAAAATGACTGGGAGGAAAAGAAACGAAGAGCCACTCAAAAGTTATATATACTGTGTATATAGAATATCATAATTTAATTATATATATATATATGTATGTATGTATATGTGTGTGTATTATAAATCATAATATATTACGTATAAGAAACGTCTTAAAACCCGAAACGGGGGGACACCGCACCTTGCACCTCGCCGCGGCCCAAGATGCCCTCGGCGGAGGGGCTTCAGGGGCACCTCCGCAGGCCTCTGGGCGGAAGAGCTGGAGAGGTCGGTTGCACCGATTGGGAGTGAAGCTGGGGGAGTGAATCCGGTGAACAAGCGCCTCAGCCCCTCTTTCGAGCCCACTGGTCTTCCATATAAGCGCCTTTAAGGCACTGCTATGAATGAAGTCTCTCTGCCCAGGCAGGATGTGAAAAGATGGTGAGAGCACCAAATACACATGTCAGCCTCGTTTCAAGCTGCTAGCATGGAGCTCCCAAATTTTGGATGGAACAAGGGAGGCGTTCCTTAAAGCCTCCCGCTTAGCCATTCAGTTGCCATGCACTATAGCAGAGCCCTAGCTCTGCTTGCCCTTCACGCTTTTGTCAACCAAAGGTGCAGAAATGTATGCCTTGCCACGCTTGCAGAACTCCAAATCCAGAAAAGTCACTGAAAACAGGCATGAACATCCAAGAAAATCCCATGAACTCATGAAGATCAACATCAATCCTCATGGGTTTGGCCGAGGTGCAACGGCCATCAAGGCAATGCCAAAGCAGGAGAAGGCTTGAAAGAAGCTCAAATCTCGTCCCTCACAGAGCTGAGCGAGATAGCTAAAAACAAGCCCAAAAGCATAGGCCACGTACCTCAAGTCGCAGATCCACAGGCAGGGGTATGTAAACTACCTCTAGGGTGGCGTCCGACCTGGGAACCATAACCATACTGCAAATCATGTTGAACGGCTTTCGGTCCCCCTTTCGCTCCGCCCCGGACGGCGTTCGGTCCGCGTCCAGGAGACTTGGCGACGGAGGTGAGGCGTCGCATCTGGTCGGCGACCAGGAAGTTGTTGAGGATCAAACAGGCGGCTAAAAGCCACGTATTGCCTCGGCTTTTTCACGTGAGCTTCGTACTTCCCGAAAAAACAAAGAAAAATCCTATGGAGACCTCACTTTTGGGCCAAGTGATGCCAACGGCTTCCTCTAATCACATGGGTGCTTTTTAGGAACAAAACAGGTTTCAGGCAAAGCTTATGCCATGGCCAAGTGAGTTGCAGTCCCAGCCTCCAAAGAAGGGCATCCTGCAATCAGCGAAATGATTGAACTTTCCCATGTTTCAAGTTTCAAGCTCAAATGACGTGTGCAATTCGCACAGGAGTCAGTTGAGTCAGTTGACTGATGTGTGAATGTACCTTCCCTTCTCCCGCCTCCAATCACCAGGGAGGACTCCTACGGGCAAATGTCCAAAGACCTCTCCGTCCCAACGGTTGGAGAGGATCTTGCCGCTCACAGCGCCTTGTGCCCAAGCCACTCCTAAGGCCCCCAACATTGTGGCGGACTTGAAATGCACCTGGGTCACCCACAAAGGCACCTCTTCAGCATCCCGTTGCAAGAAGTACTCCGCATGCACCGCTCCACCACAGCTGATCAAGCTCTTGCCCAAGATCAAGGGCAGCGCGACCAGCAGCTGTTCCGGTGATGCAGCGATCCAGGAGCCTTCGTGCCCGACCTGCCCAGCGGCCATGGTGTCGCCCAAATCATGCACCACATGCCCAACACAAAGGAAGGAGATCACCAACAGCATGAGCCACTGCAGCGCGGATTGGTTCCGCCCCAGCAGAATCCAACGCAGCAGGGCACAAAGAGGTAACCTCAGTTGCGCCGCCACCAGCAGGGTGGTACCTGACACGTTCCGGGCTGCAGCCAAGTCCATCAAATCACCCAAAGCATACGTGGCGCCCACAGGCAAAACACGTCGGATGGATGACCAGTTGAAGAGGAGCCTCAGGAAACAGGGAACACAGGCCAAGCACTAGGGCCACTAGGGCAACTTGGATGCTTCAACATCAGCTCAGCGAACCTCCACCATATGCAGGCATTCCCCCCCAAAGTCAGTTTTTGGTGTTTTGGTTCCGCCTGCTCTTAATGCTACCAGCTGGATGCTACCATCCATGTGGGCGACCATCGGACCGGCCACACGCTCCGATCGAACCTCGCCTCACGGAACGCCGAACCGGGAGCATGCAAAAGGTCGCCAAGACCCCCAGCGCCACCGTGACCAGAGCCTCCAAGAACACCACGGTGAAGGGCTCGTAGACGTAATGCCCTCCGGTCTTCGGACGGCGCTGCTTGGCGCGGGACAACGGCGCCTTTTTTTGGACCTTTTTGGGCGGGCCCCAAGCGCTTTTGTTCGAGGAATACGCCAAGGCCACCGTTTGTTCTCCACCCACGGCCTTGAGGTGATTCAATCAACCCACGATCCACGTCAAAACGATGTGCTCGGCCATGCTTGTGACAAGTCTTGTCTTTTCCATTCTTTTCCAGCTTTCTTGGCCGTTGTTAGCCTTAAGAACCGACATCCCCGAAAAACACCTCGGACCTGTCGTGTTGTAGCGGTCCACACCCTATCTCATCCCCTTTACTGGTTGCACCCGGATTGAACCCGGGTCCAACGCATCTTTCGGGCCGCGTCATAGCCACGGTCCAGCCACCTCGGTCCAACCCATACCCGGACCGCCTGGCACCTCGGACCGCCTCCCGGCCTCGGCAGTGTTTGAACTTCGTCTCGCAGACCTGGCAACTGGCACCCGAGGCGATGGCGTCGTGACACGCCAAGGAGTCGAAGAAGGGCTTCGTGAGGCTTCCTGCCGAAGACGACGCGGAGGACACGTCGTTGGAGAAAAAACACCGCGTAAACATGGGCTGCGGAGGGAGAGGGAGTGAGAGGGAGAGGAAAAGGGAGAGAGAGAGAGGGCTTAAGGTTTTAGGAGAGGAATCAGCCATGGGCTGCGATGGGATGTGGTCTGTTGTTGGACACTAGTTTGATCTTGAGATAAGGTTCTTAATTTCTTAGGATCGTTTTCAAGCTTAGTGTTGAAGTGTTTGGCTTGGCCGAGCCCAAAATGCCGATCTTTCGTGCTGGATGACCGTGGGCTGTACTTTGGCTGAAGCTTCAAGCCCAGGCTTCCCCGCACCCCCTCGTGCCGTGCCTCCCTTCAAGTTCGGCAACAAAGCGCTCATGCCGGCCACCACAAGCACTCGGGACACCAGCTCTGCTCCCTCAAATGCCATCATCGTCGCACGAAAAGAGCCACCGACGGCGCGCGCTTCTATCTACATGGAGTGTCAACCACCAATGGTCAAAGTTTGGAAAGGATTCAGCGAGTCTCAGTGGCGAAGTCGGATTACGCTGATGCTCAAGTCTGATCTTCTTGCCTGGTGCAAATATCAAAAATGACGTCCCGCACACATCTGGCTGAATACAAAGTTGGAATCGGTTCATGTTGGTCAGCTCCGAAGTCACTTCCTTATTATGTAACTGGGTGAGGTCTGCGTTTCTTTCATGGAAGACCAGTTGTCTGAAGACCCCTGCTTGGGCTCTGAAGGGCTGCGGGGCGAGAACCATGACCACACCATCCATCACTGCGCGACCTGATCCTCAACGGCAATTGTTGCTCGACAGGCAAAACACGCGACCCTCAAAAGAAACTTACACTGATCACCCTCGCACGCTCACCAGCCCCACATGCAGCTGGAAGATCCCAAGAATCTCCATGAAACCCGATGTGGCTAGCCGAAGCCAGCCAACATGAAAATCCAGAGAATCCTCCCCTGACCGACCACGTTTATCGACTCAGGATGGCCAATCCCATGTGCTTCCGCACCCCGTCCGGATGCCGGCGCCGGACGCTGGGTGAGCTGGCTGCTGCACCTACAACTTTGGCCCAACAGGCATCCACAGCCAACAGGAGCGAATGTGGATGCCAGTCTGCTGAGTGTCTAATGAGTGGCTCTGGTATTCTAGCCATACTTGGTGGTGGAACTTGGCTGCAAAGATTCATTCCACTTGGCCTATTGAGGTATAGCAGCTAGCAAATCATCGCAGCGCACTGTTTGACGCCTTTTTTGAAGCATCTCACGGCATCTCTCTGTGGAATCTTTGAGACTCCTTCCAACTGCTAGCAGATTTCGTCCAGGAGGGCGGTGGCAGGAAGCTCTCAGAAGTGAAGGCCTCACTTGGCCCTCAACTTCGCCACCACGCTCTTCTCCAAGCACCTACCCTCCGTGTCTTGCGCAGGCCTGTAGTTGCTGTGCAGGGCGCAGGTCGAGCCCTGCCCCAGTTGACGCCCGTGACACCCTGGACAGCGCGCAGTTGGAGGTGGTCTCCCTCCATGACCGGCGCGCCCAACGGCGGCAGAGCGGAGTTCGCGAGCCACTCGGGGCACGGCGCGATGCTGCGCGGCTTGGAACATGGAGTTCGCTCCTCAAGCCTCAAGATTCCTCGGTGCTCAGCAAATGCCAGCCGCTCCTCGAGCGGTGCTGACCTGGCCACACCCAACAGGGAAAAAAGAGAGAGAGAGAGAAGGACACTCTCTCCCTCTCCCTCTCCCTCTCCCTCTCCCTCTCCCTCTC